GTGGTCAGAGGTGAGGTGATGGGAACCTTTCATGCTTTTCATACTCAGGGGAGATTTGAGAAATCTTTGAATGCATCTTTTATAGCGCTTATGCCAAAGAAGTGAACCTGTAGATGTGAAGGACTTTAGACCTATTAGTTTGTTGGGATGCATTTATAAACTAATAGCCAAAGTTCTTTCGTTGAGGCTGAGGGGGGTTTTGGAGGAGGTTATTTCGGAATCTCATAATGCTTTCATAGGGGGGCGTCAGATTTTGGATTCTGTCCTTATTGCAAGGGAGTGTGTGGATGATAGATTGAGGAGTGGGGTTCCAAGGGTTTTGTGTAAGCTGGATGTGAAGAAAGCTTTCTTTTATACTTGATGGCAAGGATGGGTTTTGGGGAGAAATGGAGGAATTGGATTGAGTTCTGCATTTCTTCAACGAGATTCTCAATGTTAGTTAATGGGGTCCCGACTGGGATTTTTGGCAGTTCGCGAGGTTTGCGTCAGGGAGATCCATTATCCCCACTGTTGTTCATCATTGTGATGGAGGGGCTTAGTAGATTGATGGGGAGGGCTGTGGAGGTGGGTTTCATCAAGGGTTTTAGGGTGGGAAGGGATGTTATGCATCAACTGGAGATTTCTCGCTTCTTGTTTGCTAATGATACTCTTGCCTTTTGCGAGGCTAAGGTGTCTCAGATGAGATAATTGGGGTCGGTGTTGATTTGTTTTCAGGCAGTCTCGAGGTTAACAGTAAATGTGGGGAAGAGCGCTTTGATTCTAGTGGGTGAGGTTCCAAAGATTGAGGAATTAGCTTCTGTTCTTGGGTGTGGAGTTGGTTCTTTTCCGATCTCTTATCTGGGTTTGCCTTTGGGAGTTTCTTCGAGGACTGTAGGTGCTTGGGATCCGGACCTCTGGTGGTGGAGAGGAGGCTTACCGGGTGGAAGAAGCAATTTTTTATCAAAAGGGAGGGAGGGTTACCTTGTTGAAAAGCACTTTGTCGATCATTCCCACGTATTATTTATCCCTTTTCCAGATTCCGTCCTCGGTTGCTGCTTGTATTGAAAGATTCCGGAGGAACTTTTTATGGGGAGGGTTGGGGGATGAGTTTAAGTATCATCTGGTTCATTGGAAGCAGGTGCGTAAGATTGTTAAGTTTGGAGGAATTGGGATTAGGCGATTGTTGCCTTTTACGGGGCCTTGTTAGGTAAGTGGTTGTGGAGGTTTGGTATGGAGCGGGATAGATTGTGGAGGAAGGTGATATTGTGTCGTTTTAGGGAAGAGAGGAGGGGGTGTTGTTAGGCTGTGGTGTCTATGCCTGGAGGGGTAGGTGTTTGGAAAGACATTCGGGAGGGATGGAATGAGTTTTCTAAGTATATCGAATTCAGAGTTCATGATGGTAGGGAGATTCGGTTTTAAGAGGATGTGTGGTGTGGAGACCGCACGTTAGCATGTTCTTTCCCTGGACTGTTTAGGATTGCGGTGGATAGGCATGCCTCGGTGGCTGACTGCTTTCGTCTTGATAGCGGGAAACCGGTTTGGGATGTGCTGTTTCAGCGATCTTTTCAAGATTAGGAGATGAATGATGTGTTTGGTTTTTTAAAGTTGTTGTATAGCCAGGTGATCCGGGGAGGAGGTGGGGATTCTCTTGTTTGGATTTCATCTACTAGGGGAATGTTTAGTGTGAGATCTTTTTTCGGATGCCTGGTGGATTTGGATGGGATGGAATTCCCGTGGAAGGCTGTGTGTCGCACTAAGGCGTCATTGAAAGTGGCCTTTTTCGCTTGGACGGTTGTGTGGGGTAAAATTTTGACATTGGATAATTTGAGAAGGAGAAAGCTTATCACCTCGCTAAGGTGTCTCAGATGAGATACTTGAGGTTGGTGTTGATTTGTTTTCAGGCAGTCTCGAGGTTAAAAGTGAATGTGGGGAAGAGCGCTTTGATTCCAGTGGGTGAGGTTCCGGAGATTGAGGAATTAGCTTCTGTTCTTGGGTGTGGAGTTAGTTCTTTTCCAATTTCTTATCTGGCTTTGCCTTTGGGAGTTTCTTCGAGGACTGTAGGTGCTTGGGATCCAGACCTCCGGTGGTGGAGAGGGTGGAGAGGAGGCTTGCGGGGTGGAAGAAGCAATATTTATCAAAAGGTGGGGAGGGTTACCTTGTTGAAAAGCTCTTTGTCGAGCATTCCCACGTATTATTTATCCCTTTTCCAGATTCCGTCCTCGGTTGCTGTTTGTATTGAAAGACTCCGGAGGAACTTTTTATGGGGAGGGTTGGGGAATGAGTTTAAGCATCATCTGGTTCATTGGGAGCAGGTGTGTAAGCCTGTTAGGTTTAGAGGAATTGGGATTAGGCGATTGTTGCCTTTTAACAGGGCCTTGTTAGGTAAGTGGTTGTGGAGGTTTGCTATGGAGCGGGATAGATTGTGGAGGATGGTGATATTGTGTTGTTTTAGGGAAGAAAGGAGGGGGTGGTGTTAGGCTGTGGTGTCTATGCCTAGAGGGGTCGGTGTTTGGAAAGACATTCGGAAGGGATGGAAAGAGTTTTCTAAGCATATCAAATTCAGAGTTCATGATGGTAGGGAGATTCGGTTTTAGGAGGATGTGGTGTGGAGACCGCACGTTAGCATGTTCTTTCCCTAGACTGTTTAGGATTGCAGTGGATAGGCATGCCTTAATGGCTGACTGCTATCGTCTTGATAGCGGGAGACCGGTTTGGGATGTGCTGTTTCAACGATCTTTTCAGGATTAGGAGATGGATGAAGTGTTTGGTTTTTTAGAGTTGTTGTATAGCCAGGTGATCCGGGGAGGTGGTGGGGATTCTCTTGTTTGGATTTCATCTGCTAGGGGAATGTTTAGTGTGAGATCTTTTTTCGGATGCCTGGTGGATTTGGATGGGGTAGTATTCTCGTGGAAGGCTGTGTGGCGCACTAAGGCGCCATTAAAAGTGGCCTTTTTTGCTTGGACGGTTGTGTGGGGAAAAATTTTGACATTGGATAATTTGAGTAGGAGAAAGCTTATCATGGTAAATTGGTGTTGCACGTGTAAGTGCAATGGCGACTCAGTTGATCATCTTCTCTTACATTGTCCAGTGGCGGTTGATTGTTGAACCTTTTGCTAGGTTGGTTTGGAGTTTGTTGGGTCATGCCTAAATCTACGAGAGGCCTAATGGACACCTGGAGAGGGGTTTGGTTGGGAGCACAGGCTCGAGGGTTCTGGAGGATGGCGCCTTTATGTCTTTGGTGGTGTTTGTGGAGGGAGCAAAATAAAAGATCCTTTGAAGGAGAGGAATCTTCCATCACTGTTCTGAAATCTTTTGTTATTAGCTCTATTTGTTTCTGAAGTTCAGGTAAACTCTATTCTTCTGTTGAGGAGACTATTGAGTTTTTGGCTTCCTTGGGGCCTTAGGGTTCCCGGGTTTTTGTGATTTGTTAGGGATGCGTTCCCCTTTTTGAAGGCTTTTTTAATGAATTATTTATTTATCAAAAAAATAAAAAAAAATCTCTAAAAATTCTATTAAAAAAAAAAAAAATGAATAAGAAACCTAATCAATAAAAACTACTAAATATCAAATCTCAAAGCATTCCGACTTCATTTGGCCTTGAACAAAATCTTGAGATAATCAACAAGCCTCTAAAATATAAGAAAACTTAATTTCGGAAACCTAAACAAAGGTTTTTAGCCGAAAACCAACATGGCCCACAGGATAAAGCTAGTAGGTTTTTCTTAATACGTGGTTTCCACCCAAAAAAAACACTCCATTCGAGTCAAAAACAGACTTTTCAAACTGTTCAGAATTATGTCCTACATCAAAGACCTCTAGTTGGAGACCTTTGCTTGAGGGCATACAATTTGACTTGATTGGCGCTCGGATCGGGATGAGTAGGAGAGACTTTTTTCTGAAGAGGAAGTGTTGTAATGGGGATAAAGCCCCGGGACCAGAAGGTTTATGCGTTTCCTTCTAGAGAGTTGGGAGGTGGTTAATGGAGAGGTGACAGGCACTTTCCAGGCATTTTATTCTCAAGATCGTTTTGAAAAAAGGTTTGAATGCCACTTTCATTGTTCTTATCCACAAGAAAAAGGGGGCAGCTGCGGGACTTTAGACCTATTAGTTTGGTGGGATGTATTTACAAACTAATTGCCAAGGTCCTGGCCTTGAGGTTAACGGAGGTCATGGACGGGATAATTTCGGATTCTCAAAATGCCTTCATGGAGGGTTGTCAGATTTTAGAATCAGTCCTTATTGTAGGTGAGCGCATTGATAACAAATTGAGCAGTGGGGCTCCTGGAATTTTGTGCAAGCTTGATATTGAGAAGGCTTACGATCATGTGAGTTAGAGTTTCTTGCTCTATTTGTTGGAAAGGGTGGGGTGGGTTTTGGGGAGAGGTGGAGGAGGTGGATAGAGTTTTGCATTTCCACTGTAAGATTTTCGGTCCTAGTGAATGGCGCTCCTACTGGGTTTTTAGGCTTGTGGCAGGGGGATCCGCTTTCTCCTTTTTTGTTTCTCATTATGATGGAGGCTCTAAGCAGATGTTGAGGAGGGCAGTGGATCTGGGTTTTCAAGGTAGGGAGAAACTTGTCTAGTTAGTTGGAGATCTCCCATTTGTTGTTTGCTAATGACAGAGACATAGGCATGACCCAACGAACGCATTCTAGGGGTTTGATTGAGGCATGGAGAGGATCGCCCAAGCCCACGATTTTTGGAGGGTAACACCTCTAAGTCGTTGGTGGTGTTTATAGACAGAAAGTAATAGGAGATCCTTCGATGGCATGAAGAGTTTAGTGGCTTCTTAGCCTTATGTAGTTCCTTGGATGTGTTCCCCTTTTGAACGCTTTTTAATACATTTTTACTCATCCAAAAAAAGAGTACATATTAATTTCAACAAATATTAGGAAACAATATCCAATCAAGTTTTATCCCAAAAAAATATTCAAGCAAATTGGCATTTAGTGAGAATATATCAAAGTACACGAAAATTCGGGTCCAAAGTCCCCAAATGGTTTTCCCAAATAAAACCACTCACCAAAATTGAATCGGTGCACACGACCCTTACGGTCCTCAAATTTGAAGGCAAATGAATTTCCAAGACCAAGAGATGGATATGTCGACCTTCCCACTTCTGTCCCATCTGAGGTCATTAATGCAGACACAGATATTTCACTGTACACAACAACATGAAGGGTTAGTTGCTACACTAACCTGGTGGATGGATAAATATGGAAGGCAGTAAAAGTTAAACCTTTGGGTGTCATAATCATCCGCTGGTTCTAGATTGAGAGCCGAATCCCAAAACTTTTGCATCATTGTGCTCGCAACATCGTTAACAGTACCTGAGCTACCTTCAACCTTGAGAAATGATATATGATATATTTAGTTTACTCCACTATACTTGAACAAAGATTATATTTGTTACCACGTGCAGCATACTTCTCCCATAAAAACCAACATGTTAAGCACTTTTGACACTGGAACATGCCAACATCAATTCACACATGAAAAATGTCTACCTCTGTGTAGTCCCATTATAAAAGGCATGAGGCAGTAGTGCAGATGAACAGGTTCAGCCATATGATTATGCAAGTGATTGGACAAAGGAGCTTCAGATGCATGTAGAAAATCCAAATCCATACCAATAACAGACACCACAATAACATTTAGAACGCACGCAAGCACACAGATATATCCTCGAGAGATACACGTACACGCATAAAAATAACAGTATACAACTTAAAAATAATAACTCGTCAAAAACAAGTAAGATAATAACTTTATAGGAATGCATCTCGTATTTAGATAAGAAATAGAGATGAATACTTAGCTTTTTACCTCATGGATCTCTGATGATATTAAGATAAATGAACAAGAATATAATCACTATGTGATGCAAATGAAACCTGTCCAGGGCAAATTTTCAAATAACATTGTCTTTTGGTTTCGTTCTAGATTAATGTCTATCCTGTTAATGCAAAAGAGAGAAAATCAAGCACCACAGAACTGCGCTCCTGAAGTCCTGAGACAAAAACCAAAAATTTTACATATAATAAAAAAGTAAATTGCAGTTCCAGCATAGGACTGTTTATCTTTTTATACACATTTATATTGGACAAACCTGTCCCTCCCTCAAAAAAAATAAAAAATAAAATAAAATAAAATAAAAAATAAAAAAAATATTGCATCTTAAAAGATCAGCCGAAATTTTATTTTTAAAAATAATAATAATAATAAAAGGAAAAAAAAAAACTTTTGATCTAAAGATTGCACACACCAGAATACAAACTGCGGCTTCAGAAAGTAAACAACTTTACCATTGAAATTGCAGCATGAGTTATCTGCAGAACATCTACACAAGCAGCAACACATCCATCTGCCCAACAAATGGTGTACAAAATTAGATTGTGAAGTTCAGTTTCCTATTTAAAAGTTAATGCTCACCTTTGTCAGCCACAGGAAGATGTAAGAACTTCCCATCATGCATTATATGCAGTGCTTCAAGGATTGTCGTCTCTAATGTAGCACATTCGGGATTTGGCGTCATTACCTTGAGAAACAAATAAATGTCAATAAAATCATGCCAAGTGAAAAAAAAAAAAAAAAAAAAAAAATGGAATCACAGATCAGTTCTTAATTACATTATAGCCAAGAGACCCCTTAGATTTTCCGAATGTGAGATCTGAAGGAATTTGTTCAGTATGAGGAAATTGGCACAGTGAAAACACCCATTATGGTGAGATGACTGGAAAATTAATTCCAATATATTTATTCCAAAAAGTAAGAGATGTCAATTTATAGTATTATTGTGAAGCACGATTACTTTATCAGCATAGAATACAAGCCATATCCCGGTACTGCTCAGTTGCTCCTGCCTATGCAGGGTGCCGGGAGGGGCGTAGATAAACTTTTGACATTAGTTTGCACAATGTAGCTCCTCTCAACAATTATGATTTGAGTCTCAACAATGTTCTTGCCACCTAGTAATCATAGTCATCAAAATCACAATCATGAACGCAGACCAAATTGTAATGTAAAAAAATCAAGTAATATATTCGACATTCTCCTTTGAACTCCTCTCAAATATCATTACCAAACCTTGATGGCTTTCACAGTAAAGGGCATCCAGCTCTTTCCAAAGACAATTTTATATAATTTTATTATATTCCATTTGCCTTCGTAGCTTCAGAGTTCGGACCCCAAATCCCATAAGTGGCACTTTTCAAAGTTTGATACTCATCATCACTCTCTCTTTTATATATTATTCGTTTCCCATTGATGCTATCATATTATCTCTTTCTTGTCCTTCTGCATTTTTATTTTTTTTGGGACAAGTCTTGTCCTTTTGCATGTTAATGGTCATCTTTAGTTGGTGTCATCTAAACTTCCATAATTACCAAGACAACACTACATGTTTCAAAACATTGACTCTTTAGCGTGCACAAGCGTATTCAAGTAAAACTGTACTGAGTACTAAATATCAACTTATCTTCAATGATAATTTCAATAATTCCAAGTGTTTTCACTAACTAGACAGCAAGCAATGCAATGCACCAATACATTCATTTCTAACCACTTATCTTGGACAAAATTTTGAAAATTCCTAGTGTTTTCCGTAACTAGACAGCAAGCAACGCACCAATACATCCATTTCTAACCACTCATACATTTTATCCAATGACCTCAATGCACCAGTATCTCCGTGTGCAGACACCAGTGCATGTGGGGTAGTGACTATATACACCATTACTGGTGCATATACTCCTATTACAATTACGATTTCTGAACTCTACTGATGTTCGTCTAGAATCACTCTTAAGACTTTGGGAAATGTTTCTAATTAATTTTCAAGTCTTTTCAAATTAAAATTAAGTCTCTAATGCAAAACCCTGATTGATGCTCTCCTCGAAAAACACAAGATTTGGTGAAAATTGCATTCGTTATTCATCATTAAGATGTGTTTTAGCCTTGGTCTATTTTTCATCATTAAGAGTTTTAGGTTGTGTATGACCTTTCCATATTATCATTGATCATCGAGCTACCATCGACAACAGAATACAGTTAAGGGCAGTAACTACCAACAATCAATCAACACGGCTTGCTTTGTATGTACACTGAGAAATGAACCATCATGTGGTGATTGTGATATGTAGATCACTGGTCATTACGAAGACATTGTGATCGGATAATACAAGCGTTCAAGATAAACTGAAAGCAAGTGATTCCAAAGACATTGGAGTCCCAATTGGTGTGGGGACCATGCATCGGTGTGTGCTTCCCCAGGCTCTTGAGGATTGCTATGCATGCTATGGTTGCCGACTACTTGATGCAGGACAGAATTCTGAACAGTTCAACAAGTCCGTTTTCGACCCGAAAAGAGTGTTTTTTGGGTGGAAACAACCCATTGAGAAAGACCCACTAGCTTTAGCTTGTGGGCCATGTTGGTTTTCGGCTGAAAACCTTCGTTTAGGGCTCCGAAATTGCGTTTTATTGTGTTATAGGAGGCCCGCTGATTATTTCGGGTTTTTTGTTTGAGGCCTTAACGACATCGAAATGCTATGAGATTTTATATTTAGTAGATTTATTTCATTAGATTTCTCTCTCTATTTTCCTAAAATTTATAGAGAGAATTTATTTTTAGGCTTATTTCTAGGATTAGTTTCCTTGTGTTTTTAGTTTCCTTTTAGTGTTAGGTTTTCTCTATTATAAATATTCATGTATTGCAAGAGCAGAATGTAACCTTTGATTAATAATATTTAAATTGCTTTGCAATTTTTAGTCAACTTTGTGAATTCAAAGTCACCCTATCATATGGATTCAAAATAACTCACGTTCCTTACGAACGACTTAATCACTTCCGCTACTCCAGTTGGTATCAGAGCCTTGATTTACCCTGGGCTGATAATGATTGATCGTTTTTGCAACTGCTGCTTTCGCGACATTAATCGGGGAGTGCAAGCCCCTTAGGTAGCTGGCCACCAGGTTCGTGGTTCAATTCGAGTTCGCATTGATGATGTGTCTTGCAGCCAACCAAATATGGGTTACATTCCTATTTATCCGTGTACGCCTCCAGCCTATGCAGATTATTTCGATGATTCTTCCGATGATAAGCAATTCGTATTAAGTGATCGACGTAAATGCAACAATCGTGAATTTCAAGTAAAACTTGATCTACTTACTTTCAATGGAAATTTTATTATTGAAGATGTCTCGGACTGGCCTGAAGAAATTGAAGAATTTTTCAAATATTTTAATATACCTGAAAACAAGGAAATTTCGCTTGTTGCCTTCAAGTTTAAAGGTTGGGCTTCAACTTGGTGGAAACAAATACAATTTTATTGAAGGAGGCAAGGATCACAGCCTGTTCGATCGTTGTACAAGATGAAACAGATGTTCATAGCTAAATTTCTACTACCAAGTTATGAGGAGATAATGTTACTTATCAAAAAAAGTTATGAGGAGATAATGTATCAAAAATATCGGAATTGTCGGAAAGAGAGTCCATCTATCAAAAAGTCTATAAAGAAGATTCACAAAAAAGATAGTGGCACCAAGGATGATAATAATTTTGTTGAGGCAACGACTGATATTATTGAGGTTAATCAAAAGAAAAATTATGTTAACTCACTTATTGTAGTTGAAAAAGATGAAGTCAAGGATGTGAAAACATTAATTCCTTTGCTCAAGTTGGCAGATGCAAAAAAAGACTTTAGCAAGACAAAAGAAGATGGTTACAAGAAGTTCGATACTAAAATTAAGCAACAAGAATTAATTGATGATCACCGGGTTAATGATTTTCCAAATCAGATGTCGAAGACGGTTCGGAAGAAATCGGACTTCAAATTGGTGAAGTATCATTATTTGAACAGATTGATAATAAAGAATTACTTATTCCAGAAGGTACCAATGAAAATATTGTGGTGTTGCGGTTTGGAGGTTCTCATGGCAGTGAACAATATGATTTTGTGGTAGGCAATACTTCATGTTATTCGCAGCCAAACTCGAGGACGAGTTTTTTTGAAGTGGAGGGGGGACTGATGCAGGACAAAATTCTGAAAAGTTCGACAAGTCCGTTTTCGACCCGAAAATAGTGTTTTTGGGTGGAAACGGCCATTGAGAAAGACCCACTAGTTTTAGCTTTTTCGGCTGAAAACCTTCGTTTAGGGCTCCGAAATTGCATTTTTTTGTGTTATAGGAATCCGGCTTATTATTTCGGGATTTTTGTTCGAGGCCTTAACGAAGTCAGAATGCTATGAGATTTTATATTTAGTAGTTTTATTTGATTAGGTTTCTTTCTCTATTTTCCCATAATTTTTAGAGAGAATTTATTTTTAGGCCTATTTCTAGGATTAGTTTCATTTGAGTGTTAGGTTTTCTCTATTATAAATATTCATGCAGTGCAAGGGCAGAATTTAACCTTTGATTAATAATATTTAAATTGCTTTGCAATTTTTATTCAACTTTGTGGATTCAAAGTTACCATATCTTGTCGATTCAAGATAACTCTCGTTCCTTGTGCACGACTTAATCGCTTCCGCTACATCACTACCATAGCCTTAATGGTGGGAGGATGACATGGGATGTGCGTTTTGCGAGGCATTTCCAGAATTGGGAGCTGGATGACGCTTTGAGCTTCTGGCGTTGTTGTACCGCCAGGAGGAGGTTGTGGGCGAGGCTGATTCCTTGGTATAGACCCTTTCTTCTCAAGGGAGGTTTGATGTTTGCTCTTTCTATGGGAGGCTATCAGATGATCCAGGGGAAGCTCTCCCCTTGGAAGGTAGTGTGGCGTACCAAGGCCCCTCTTAAGGTGGCCTTCTTTTGTTGGATGGCCGTTCTGGGGAAGATTCTAACTCTTGACAAGTTGAGGAGGAGGAGACAGGTTGTGGTCAACTGGTGTTGTACGTCCACGACGGACGAGGAGACGATTGATCATCTTCTGTTGCATTGCCCGATTGCTAGAGCCAGTTGGGGCTTGCTCTTGTCTTTGTTCGGGGCTCATTGGGTCGTGCCTCAGACCTTGATAGGTTTGATTGAGGCTTGGAGAGGATGTATAGTGGGATCCCAAGCCCGTGACTTTTGGAGGGTGGCATCCTTGTGCCTTTGGGGGTGGCTTTGAAGAGAACGCAATAGGAGATCTTTTGACAGTGAGGAGACTCCTATTGGGGGTGTTCAAATTTTCTATTCACGCTCTTTTTTTGTTCAATTGTTGGGAGGAATTGTAAATCCTTGGAAGAGAGTTGATTTTTTGGACATTCTGAGATATGGACCTTATTAGGCTCTTCTTTCGTTTTTGTGGGCATTGTTCCCTTTTGAACGCTTTCTAATACAATCTTACTTATCAAAGTACAAGTATTCCAAAGGCACTGGGATCCATTGTTTCTTCATTCCAAAGATAATGGGTTTTTTAGCATGAGATGGCATACTCTACGGTGTTTCCTCATTAAGGTCTTCCATGTAAAAAGTTGGAATGTCTTTATTTCTTTTTGTTGAAAGCTAAATCTCAGAGAGAAGACGAGAGAAGAACTGATTGTCTATTGTGATGTTTATGGCCTGACTTTGGTGTCGGGTCGCAACTCATTGAATAAGCTTTGTGTGGGCCTAAAGCCCATATAAGCTCTGGGGGTTTGGGGGCTTGGCCCCGAGGAAATTTTTTGACCCGTTTTTGCTTGTGAGTCGTGGACCCTAATTAGTACTCTCTTGTAGCCTGATATATAAGGGCATTTAGGGTTTGGAGTGGGAGATTGAGACACTAAAAATAAATAGCAGAGAGAGAGAGTGACAGGCTGAAACTTGGAATCTCCTATTTTTTGCATAGTGAAACTTTCACCGGATCTTCACCATGGATATAGGCTTTGCCAAACCACGCTAAATGTTTGTGTTCTTTGTGTATGGTGTGATGATTACTTTTCTGTCGTGTTTTTTAATTCATATTCCAAAGGATAATTACAGTAGGTATATATAATATTCTCTAGAACATAAAATAAGGAAGGTGATAGGTGAGTGCAAAGCAAGGGATGTATGTAGACCTATTGTGTGACTAGGTAAATATATCATGTATAAAAAATGAAAGTTGTAATCATATCCCTAAATAAAGAATAGTTGACCATGAGTTGTATTCACGACACTCCCCCCTCAAGCTGGAGAGTATATGTCAATGATTCCCAGCTTGCTACACATGCTTGGGAAGAGCCTTAGTAAAGATTTTTTCTAACCGATTACCAAACGATACGAATGGAGTGACAATTTCTTTGGAAGTCACCTTAAAACGAATGAAATGACAATCAACCTCAATATGTTTGGTTCGCTCATGAAAACCAAGTTAATGGCAATGTGAATAGCTGCCTGGTTATCGCAATAGAGAAGAGGTGGGTCTTGAACAGAAAAGCCAAACTCTGGTAATAGAGATCTCAACCAAGTTAGCTCACAGGAAGTATGAGCCATTGCATGGCACTCCACTTCAGCACTTGATCGTGCCTCAACCGACTGCCCAATTAGAATGAGTATTAACCCTTGATGCCCAAGCCGCACATGCCACAATCTGGTAGTATCTGAATCCAAATCCAAGGACGATACTGTAGCTGAACCCATGATTGTGGTACCCAATAACACATATAAATCTTGCTTCTTTAGTCCCTTCATCGCCAGAAGAGCACCCTTTGAAACCCGAATCCCTAATGACTCCACCTCTAGCCTTGTAACCGTACCCGATGGAATCGGGTGTACCCAGCGAAATCAAATTCTTCTTCAGTTCTGGTAAATGCCTAACGTGAGTCAATGCTCCCACTGTGCCATCGTACATCTTGATTCCAATTGAACCGATACCTACAACCTTGAACGGCACATTATTCCCCATCGAGACTTCCTTCATCAATGGGAAGATAAGAGGTAAACTAGTCCCTGTTTAGACAAATGTGATACGAACAGCCCAAATCAAGAATCCTCTCATTGCTAGAGCCACCCATAGAAATCATGAGAACGTTTCCACCATCTGAATCATTACACTTTGCAATAACCACATCACCAACTTCATAGCATTTTCCATTTCCCTTCTTACACTCTGAACAGCCTTTCCTGAAGTGCCCTCCCCAATGACAGGTGTAGCATCTCAGCACCTTTCTTTTGTTCTTAGACTTTGAATGATCTCTACTAACACACCCTCCCTTCTACTTCGTTCTCCCTTTAACAACCAGCCCCTCAACCCAAACTTTCTGTATCGCCTTCAAACGCCCTTCTTTGCAACTCCTGAGAATTCAAAATTGCCTTCACGTCTTCCTTGGACAAAACAATTCTGGCATATATCATTGTATTGACAAAGTTTTCATACGAGGGTGGTAGAGAACACAACAGAATAATAGCCTTAATCCCCATCCTCTATTTTAACATCAATATTATTTAAATTCGTGATAATATTGTTTACCTTGTCAAGATGGTCTTTCAGAGAAAAACCTTTGTGCATCTAAAGAGTGAACAGCAGCTTCTTTAGATACAAGCGGTTTGCAAGAGATTTCATAATATACGCAACCTCCAACTAGTTCCAGGCTGGCATAGTCTCTCTAGAAACTTCTCACAAAACCGTGTTACTCAAGCACATTATAATCACATAGTTTGCTTTCTCCATAACCTCATCTTTGTCCAAACTTTTCTAGTAATGCTTCCTTCCCCTTCAGCGCTCTGGATAACCCACGTTGAAATCGTTTCTGCTATAAAACTTCTCAATTTTAAGAAACTTGGTCGTCATCCCAACTTCAAATCGAAAGCTCTGATACCAATTTGTTACGATAAATGTAGCAAGCCAAGAACAAATCACGATAAAAAAATAAGCACGCCACATACAAAGAACACAAAGATTTACATGGTTCAACTTAAAGCAAATCTACGCCCACATGATTCACGTGAACATCCGGCGAAAGATTTCACCATGCGAAAATCAGAAGATTACAAGTTTTAACCCCCAAACCCTAGCTCTCGCTCTCTCTCCTTCCTGCAATTTGCAGTGTTCTCTTGTTCTCCCACTCCAAACCCTTAACGCCCTTATATGTCGAGGTACAAGAGAGTACTAAACTTGGTCCACTAAATAAGGTCCACGACCCACAAGTGAACAAAATTCAGGCCACAACATCACCCAACTATCCCTAGCCACAGGACAATGCAACAAAAGATTATCAACTAACTCGTCATCTCTTGCCCATGCATCACCAGTAAACCAAAACAAATCACCTAATTATAACACACTTTTTGATCAAAGAAAATGCCACCACAAGTCCCAACAAATAAATCTATTCAAAACTACACAATGAAATTAATGCTTATTTACACATCAAGCCCCATCAACCTCAAAATCGCTAGTATCCAAATACGAGGCAAATCAACCAGCAAAGTGTGAATATTTAAAACCCATGTGAAAAGACAAGTAGTCACCAGAATGTTCAAAAGAATATGCAACTAAAAAAATTCAATTTATGTCTTGAGAATATTAAGTTAACATTATTGAAATTGTCTGAAAACCTACTAATTAATCCTAGTGTAACAAGAGCAGACGAAAACAGATGTATAATATTGTTGAAATGGTAAACAATAAAATAATAAGAGTTTCCGGTAAGAACCTTTTCGACTAGAGTCAACTCAGGAGAAAGATTTTGGGCCACAACTCGCATTAGTATATCTTTTGAACTGCAGTTCAGTTGCAAAAAACCGTCATAACCACAAGCAATGACAAAAAGATTCAATTTTAGACACAAACACACATAAATGTGCAACCTCAAATAGATTTATGTAACATAAAACTTTCTCAAGTTGCTGGTTCCTTTTCCCTCTTTCTAGATGTTCTACAATCCAAGTCCCCTTTTCAGAACTTGGGCTGCAAACTGTTTAGAATTTTTGAATTACCATTTTCCAATTGAATTAAAATACAGCAACTCATTTGACTGGAAGGCTAGTTGTAAAAGTATGTACTTTTTATTTTACTGTTTACACATTGAATGCTCATCTTCTAGAAGAGAAACAATCTGGGTCTGATTGAGTATTAAAAGAAGAATCAAAAGAGGATGCTGAGAAGAAGAGAAGTACGTCAGAATTCCCTGAATCTTGTTCCCCGTCACAATAACAACAGAATTTACCCGCAACTCCCTCATCTTTTTAGCAGCAACGTGGACAGGATCTGAAGGTAATACGAGTGCAACCCTGAAAACATCATAAAGATATAAAACTTACTAGCACCAAAACAACTTTAAACATGAAAACATGAATGATATCATGCATGAATAAATGCCAATAGGGAAGATTGAGATTACTTGGCATTATCGGCAATAATACTTGACAAAGAAGGCTTGAACATCCGGTCCCTAAGTGTCTCTATAAAAGCATATGGAGCTGAAATATAGGATGAAAACCCAGCAAAAAATTAAATCTTATCAAACTTACTTGAAATTCTAAGAAAATAAAGATATATACCAGATTAATAGCATATGTGGCAACCTTAACACAATTACTCGAGCTCTGGCAACACGAAATAATTAATATAATAAAATAAAATTCATAAGGAAAGAGCACTATTGCTTCCCATGATAAATCCCTAAGACTTTATTTCCCTTACCTATCAAAAAAAGAAAGTGCGCTATTCCACGAACATGGAAATAGATAGTGTACAATCAAAAAAAAAAAAAAAAAAAAACCAATAAGAAAGTCTGGTCCCCTAGGAAGCATGGAAACGTCTACGAATGAGCCATATCCGTATTGTATCCATGTTGGACACCGATGCTTGACAAACACTCCTTGTATGCACCCATGATTTTAAAATAAATTTAATTATTTTGGGCACTTAGCAGACACTTCACTGACTTTGCCGACTATCCGATACTTGGCCGACACTTCTTGGAAGTCCCTAACAAAAGTCTTGCATCTAGAGTAACCATGTTTGGCAATTTTGAAATAATATCAACACATTTCAAAGTGTCCAATTTTTTTTTTAAAAGAAAAATCTTCTTGGACATGTTTCTGAAACCATATATGTGTAAATGTGTCCATAATTTTAAAATAAATTTAATTATTTTGGCCACTTAGTGGACACTTCTCTGACTTTGCCGACTGTCTGATACTTGGCCAACACTTCTTGGAAGTCCCTAACACAAATCTTACATCTAGAGTAACCATGTTCAGCAATTTTGAAATAATATCAACACATTTCAAAGTATCCAACATTTTTCTCTGAAGGAAAATCTCCTTGGACTCGTGTCCGACACTTTGATATAATTTTTAAATAAATTTAATTATTTTGGGCACTTAGCGAACACTTAGCTGATTTTCCCGACTATCTGATACTTGGCCAACACTTCTTGGAAGTCCCTAATACAAGTCTTACATCTAGAGTAACCATGTTCGGCAATTTTGAAATAGTATCAACGCATTTCAAATTGTCCAACTTTCTTTTTTTTAATACTTTCAAAAAAAAAAACTTTCTTTTTTTAAAGAAAAATGACATTATACACATTATCACGAGTGATGCATACATTGATACTTCAAGCCTCCCCACTTATTTCCTCTCTCGGTTCCAGATTCCCTTTTCTGTGGCTGAGAGAATTGAGAGGTTGCAACGGAATCTTTCTTTAGGGAGGCGTGAGGGAGGAGTTTAAGTTTCATCTAGTTCACTAGGAGCAGGTTTGCAATCCGATCCGAGTCGGAGGTTTGGGTATCAGAAGATTGGTGTTGTTCGATAAGGCTCTTCTCGGGAAGTGGTTTTGGAGATTTGGGTTATAGAGGCATAGGCTATAGAGGAGGGCGGTTGTGAGTAGATATGGGGAGGGGAGAAGAGGTTGGAGCTCCCTCGAGGTGCGTATTCCAGGGGTTGCTGGGCCTTGGAAGTCCATTTGGAAGAGGTCAGATGATTTTTCTAAACACATGAGATTTCAGCTGTGGTTCCATTTCTGGGAGGATGTTTGGTGTGGAGATCACTCTCTTGCTCTCTCATTCCCTCGGCTCTTTAGGATCGCCACGAATAGGCAGGCCATGGTGGTTGACTGTTTCACGAGGCACTTCCAGGATTGGGAGATTGAGGATGCCATTGGTTTGTTGGAGTTATATCACCAAGAAATCATAGGTGGAGAATGGTTGGGTGTGGATTCCTGCTTCTCAGGGTTTTTTTGATATTCGGTCCTTTTATAGATGTCTCAGTGAGAGGCTTGGGTCTCCTTTCCCGTGGAAGGCTTTTTGGCGCTCTATAGCCGCCCTCAAGGTGGCCTTCTTTGCTTGGACACCTGCGTTAGGGAAGATCTTGACCTAGGATAATTTGAAGAGAAGGAATCAGGTCGTGGTCAACTGCTGCTGCATGTGCCTTCGAGATGAGGAGCCGGTGGATAACCTTCTTTTGCGTTGCACAATGGCCAGGGATTGCTAGGTTTTGATTTTGGTTTGTTTGGAGTTCAGTGGGTAATGCCCAGGTCCACCAGAGCGATGATTGAGGCTTGGAGAGGTTGTACAGCGGGCGCCCATGCCTGGGATGTTTGGAGGGCTACAACTTTGTGTATTTGGTGGTGTCTTTGGCTCGAAAGAAACAAGAGATCCTTTGAAGGAAAGGAGAACCCTATTCCTATGCTTAGGTTCTCTATCATTTCTACTCTTTTTTGTTGGGTTGTAGGGAGAAATTATAGTTCTTTTGAGAAAATTGTAGATTTTTTTGGACTCTTTGAAAGTTTAGAGGTCCTATTTGGCCCCCTTTCAAGCGCTTTTTACACAATTTTACTTATCAAAAAAAAAAACCTTCGGAGAGTAAGGCTGGTAATACATCTAGGTCAACATGGCAAAACTCGTCATTATCACTCCATGTAAAATCTGAAACCAGATGGTCTCTCATTGAACAAGATAAAATCGAATATCGCCGATACGAGGACTATCACCCTGATGGTCAAGAATATCATAGAGCAAGTCCCTATATGATGGACCTATGTTACCTAGACTCGAGTACATGTATCTGCTGCAGGTATGTATGCAAGTTTCAGACATATCAAAATCCCATAAAAAAGGACAGGGACATTGCTAAATATTATCTAATATTTTATTTATTTTTATAGAGTAAAAATAATTTTTTAAGTTACTTGGTGTTTAATTTAGGCATTTTACAAGTTTTGAAGCAATAATATAATAAAATCGAATTATTAGATATGGTTCAAAAAGGTTATTTCAAAACCATTTTTTTAATGTTACGAGGAAGTTGATCGACATTATACATAATTGAGCATGTCATAGGGACAATAATGTTTCTACCAACATTCTGTGTAAGCATTCATGAGTTCAGCAACCATCTTTTGCACGTAAATCCTACGTTATAAATCCATTGTCAACTAACCAGAGAAATTGCTTCCCCACTGGCGTTCCACTCCTTCAACAGCTGCTGCAATGGCACTACCCTGCTCTGCGGCCTTCTCCATTCTGGATATAGCATCATATAGGCACTTTGTAATATCCAACAAAGCAATAACTTCACCATTTTCTACAACAGGGAGGTGCCTAAATTTTCCTGTTAATCAAAAATGAGTAACTCAGACCATCTACAAATACTTCACCAAAAACAAGCCCATAGAATGAATATACTGAACTTAAAATTAACATGATAACCAGGAGATATTTTGACGGGAAAAAGAAGCCTGTTTCTATGCTTAAGTTCTCTGTTATTTCTACCCTTTTTTGTTGGGTTTCAGGGAGAGATTATAGATCTATGGAGGAAATTATTGTTTTCTTGGCCTCTCTGAAGGTCCAAGGAGCCCTTTGGCCCTTTTGTTCCTTTTGTTTCTTTGGGCTTCGCTCCCCTTTTTGAGCGTTTTTAATAAAATCTTACTTATCAAAAAAAAAAAAAATTAACATGATAACCTACAGTACACTCCACTGGAGAAAATGTCAAAATAGTTTAGAAAGAGGAAATCAAAAGATATTCATAAGCTACAGTATACCCCTTTGGAAAATATATACACAGTTTAGACAGGATATTAAATGAGACAGAAAGAAAAGACAAACAAGACCACTCAACTGCCCCTAAAAAAAAGTATATGGACCAAGTATAGATGACAAGGCTATTGGCCATAGAAAAACTACAAATGTTGTTGTGAGGATTTGGTCCCAGGTATGGTTAATAAGAGTCACATGCTAAAGCTTCAAAGTTATTCAGTCATACGATATTCATAATATATATAATAAAAAAATGATAATGTGAATGATTAAACTAGCAATTTCTCAATTATTATCATTAATCAGTTGAATTAAATTGAATTTCTTAAGGCCTATTTTAATGTTCAAGCCTAGATATGGCAATGTATTAATTTAAATTGATATAATTACTTGACGGCCCCTGTTGGGACTAGTTTAGAGGAAGACAACATTAAGCTTCAGTCAATATGTCACCGTTGCATCATATTAACTCCAATGATCTACCCTCAAATGTATTGAATAGGATGAGTACAAAAGTATTTTACCAGCTACTAATAATATCCTACTTCTGATAAGAATAATACACTGAATTACTAAACTATCAAATTTTGACTTCCTAGAGTAATCAAAGCATATTCTGACCTCTTAGAGTAATCTAGACTAGGGATGGCAATTTGACCCGCCCCCGAGGTTACCCGTCCCACCCCGCCCCGTTTTTGACGGTTATGGGGGACCGTTTAGCTTATTTGGGCGGGGATGGTTTGATGTAATAAAAACCCGCACGGGTTTGGTGCGGGGGCGGGGTGAGGTCGCCCCGCACCGTACCGCCCCATTTAGATAGGCAAATTACTTAAGTACCCTTATTTCATTAGTATATATATTTCCCAATATATATATTAAGTACCCTATATAATAATATTAAAGTAACAAATGAATTTGATTCGAAGGAAAGTTGCAATAGTGAAGAACTAAAGATGAGGAGAAAAAAAATAGCAAATTTATTTCTACAATAAATAAATTATGGTCTTAAACGGGGCGGGGCGGGTACCCGCGGGGGTAAAAATGTTAAACGGTTACGGGGATGGGGTGGAAAGTCCCCCCGTTTTTGCGGTTTTGGGTGGGGATGGGGGCGGGGTTTTAAACGGTTGCGGGGGCGGGGGCGGGGGCGGGGGAGGGTACACCCGCCCAAACCCGCCCCCGTTGCCATCCCTAATCTAGACAAACTTAAGGCCACAGATAACTTTTTTTTTTTTTTGATAAGTAAAGGCCACAAATAACTTCAAAACAACACACTTAAGAAACTAATCTCCCTGCAACCAAAGAGAGCGGGGGAGAGAAAGAGCTCAGAATATGGTGTTTTATCACTCATATCGGACCTTTACACCCCCCAAAAGCCCCCCTATTCCTCTCACACAAAGGCCCCTCGAAATACAAAGAGGCCCAACCCTCCATGCACCTCAAGCCTGGCTTTCCGCTGTACACCCCTCCAAGCCTCGACCAAACTGATTGTAGATGCTAGCCAAACCCAATGCACCCCAAAAATTGCAGAGACATAGCCCAAACATCCCAAATCATTAGGCAACATAAGGAACACCAGCTCACTATGTCCTCGTCCCTCTTTCAAAGGCAAAACCCTCTTTCTTCAAACTGCTGAGCATCGGCATCCTCCCAAGAACCCTTTTTTTTTTTTTTGGGTAAGTATCCTCCCAAGAACCATTGTCCAACGAAGAAGGCTATTTCGAGAGGAACTTTTGTTCTCCAAACCATTTTCTACAGAAAGATTGACACCCGATCAACCTGTTGAACGAAAGCCATAGTAAATCCATCCGAGCGTGGAGACTTATCACCATTTTTTTATAAGTAAAGCTTCATTTAAAAAGCGCTCAAAAGTGGAGCATGGCCAAAAAAACAACTGCATAAAAGGCCAGACAAAGGCCCCCTCAACTCTCAAACTATCCACAAAGTTCCTAGTGAACCTCTTTCGCCATGACACCTTCCAAGCCTTGGTAGCCCATCACATATCTCTTCCAAGCCTCCCATCAACCTTCCAACCAAACAGCACTAGAGAAAATCTTTCGCCGCTTGTCTCAGACGTTCACTCATCCATTCTGAAAACATTTCCCCATTTTTATTTAATAATTCTAGTTTCCCTAGAGGTTGGGAGACGAGGACACCTCGCCACCACTAGGAACGAGCGTTTCTCTCCCTCAAATGCTCTCATCTTATCTTTTGAAATCAATGTTTTTTCCCTGGATAATTTTGATTCAATAATTTTTCGAAGTAACTCTTCCATCTTTCTTTGATTGCATTATCTTTTACTAAAACTCTTAAATCTTTATTCTTGATAATATCATACATAATATAATATGTTCTTTTTTATATTCAAAAAGCTTAATATTCTAATTTATGTAAATTTAATATGGAAATTACAAATTAATTAAAGTTCTATAATTATCTTACTCAATAGATGTATAAATGAAATTTATATGCATATTAGCTGAGTCCACACCGTGTCCGTGTCCGTGTCCGTGTCCTACTCTTGCATAATTTGATGTGTCGGCATATCCGGGTCGTCAAGTGTCAGGTTCATGCTTCTTAGAATATTAGTGAGAGAATATAAAAGAAAGATAGTTAAATCCTTTGCTTGTGTTTGTATAACTTAAGAATGACGAGAAACGAAAGGAATGTAATACCCTCTCGTGACTCTTGGAGGGCGACCCCCCTCTGTGTTTGGTGGAGTCTTTGGAAAAAGCGAAATAGAAGACGTTTAGATGGGGTCGAATCCTCCATTGGGGCGCTGAAATTTTCTATTATTTTTTCTCTTTTTAGTTGGGTGATGGGGAGAAATCAATGTTGTTAAAGGTGCGCCTAGGCTTGAGGCTCAGGTTTAGCGCCTGTTGTCATCCCAGGCTCATTGATGTTTACCAGGCGCGCTCCTCGGTTGCGCCTCGTCCTGTTTGTGAGGCGCGCCTCATTGACATTTGTTTAAAAAAATACAATTGTTCTATTTCTTAAGCCAAAAAGGGTACTTTTGGAACTTAATAAACAAAAAAGTAAACCCAAGCATACGATATAAGGAACTTTTGTTCAAAAGAATAAACAAATAAGAAAACACAAGAGTCAAAGTATTAACCGAACAACGACAGAATGAGATTGTGAGACAAAAACGAAGCCCTAGTTGAAGAGATGAACGACGAAACCACGTCAGTTCTTTCTTTTTCTTTTTCTTTTCTCTCCTCTCTCCTTATCTTTGTTTACATCTCTCTCTTCGTCTAGTTCTCTTCTCTCTCTCACTGTCTTTTTTCCATTTTTGGCTCTGTTTTTCCTCTTTTTTTGTTGTTAACAATTTTTTTTTTTTTTTGATTTATTTCTTTTTGTACTTTGTTTTGCCATTCAAAAAAACACATTTTGCATTACCTTTCAAGAAAACGAATTTGTGCTTTGTTTTATGGTTGTTGGATGCTTGTATAGTTGATGGATTTACTTTTTTATATTTGATATTAATTTTTAGAATATTTATATGACTTATGAGATATGAATGTTATTATGGTAGTTTAAATTTTCAATTGTGCGCCTCATTTCACTCAGGCGTGCGCCTCGCGCCTAGGCTCCAAAGGACCTCTAGCGCCTTGGGCCTTAATAACACTGAGAGAAATTTCGTTGGTCATGATTTCCCATGAAAGACTATATGGCATTCTAAGGCTCCACTTAGAGACACATTATTTGTTTGGACTGCCATCTAGGACAAGATTTTAACGTTGGATAATTTGAGAAAGAGAGGTAACATTTTTGTTAATTGGTGTTGTTTATGTAAAACAGATGATGAGTCTGTGGATCACATTCTTATGCACTATCGTGTGGCGTACGATTTTTGGAAACTCATCTTCAGCATTTTGGCGTCCATTGGGTAATGCCTCAGACCTCCATAAGACTGATTAATGCTTGGAGAAGATGCCCAGTGAAAAGTCATGAGCGTGACTATTGGAGGATAGTTCCACATTGTGTTTGGTGGTGCATATGGAGAGAGAGGAATAGCAGAAATTTCAAAGGAAAGGAATCGTCTTTGGCGACCTTGAAATTCATATTCTTCGTTCTATTTTCTGTTATGTGAAAGGAAGCGCTTGCTCCTCCACTGATGACTTTTTGGACTCTATTGGTCCTTATGTTCAATTTTCGCCTTTTGTATTAGGGACGCGTTCCCCTTTTGAACACTTTTCTAATAGACTTTTACTTATCAAAAAAAAATACTGGGAGAAATTGTATATCTATAGATGAAATCGTGGTTTTTTCGGGTTCTTTGGGTCCAAACGACTCCCCTTTGGCTTCGGCTTTTGTATAGATTGGGATGCATTCCCCTGTTGAACGCTTTCTAATACACTTTACTTGCCAAAAAAAAAAGGTAAAGAAGAGACGAGAAAGAAAACTATCTTATTAAACTTACTATCATACCCTTTTGCATTTAGATTACCAAATAGAACATTAATGCATAAAAAATTCTCTCAAACATAATATATTACTAGGTCCATGCTTACTGAGAGTAATATATTACAGGGTCCCTACTACAAGGATGTGGCTTTTTTTAGTTTTTGAGGTGGGTTTTCCATTGTGCCAGAAACAAAAATAATAATTTTAAAGTTTAATTCCTTTTATTTTACACATTTCTATCACAGCCTAAAGAAGGGAGGGTGACTGACCCAAATATTTTTAAATGAAAATCTGGAATATCCTAAATGATGTAACTGAATTGAAGGGAAAAAACCACAAAACAGAAATGCAATTTTAAATACCCGACCGCCACATCTTACTGGTGCTATTATATTTGCTCTCTGTTATCAAATTTTCTTGTTCTATGAAAGCCTTCTTTATCAAATGGAACAGCATGTGTGCAGTATATATGCATGTAAACAAGTTGCTTCTTCATGCACATCAGACAAATTCATAGTTAGGTAAGCCCAGCCACTGAGCATGACGAAAAGGAAAACAAATAAGGTATAAAAGCTAACCTTGGACCATCTTCTGAAGAGCCTCAATTGCCAATGAATCAGAAGTGACAAAAATAGGATTCCTTGTCATGACTTTGGAAACTATAGTCTGTTCTGGTCTCAACTCCTCTGCTATAACTCTAGTTGCAATGTCCTTAGCACAGACAAACACATAGTCAAAATTTTACAGCTTACTAAAGGGAATAAAATAGAAACATAAAAATCGACTCATCATTTCATTTCCTAAAAAAAACACCTTGTCGGTAACTATGCCCGAAAGCAAAGCATTTGCATCTGTCAACAAAACGGCATCCACACGACGAGCTGCCATTCTCCGACAAGCATCAGAAACTGTGGTTCCTTCGGGAATGGTGAGTGCCTTCGACAACCTCAGCTTCTTCACCGTCCTTTCGCCCGTAACAGACCTGACGCCATTCAAAATCCAAAGCAAAACTCTCAATAACACACACACACATACATATATATATATATATATATATATATATATATATTAAGAAAGGGTCGAATACTGACGAATTGCCAGGCGATGAGGGCTTGGATAGGCTCCCATTGGTGGTTCCATTATCGGAATGATTGGACGATGATCTCTTCACAGACGATGGATGATTGCGTTTGGCCGAACTGTTCCGTCTCGGAGCTGAAGCGACTTGTCCACTCATTTTAATTTAATTATCGTTACACGTACAATAAATATGTTATGATTCTGCTCCTTCCGATTTGGTTGGGAAAAGAAACTGCTTCCGCTCCAAATAAAACCCTAGAATTTAGAGAGAGAAAGCAAACCAAGAGAGAGAGGGGAGTATGTTAGGGCTTTGTGTGATGTCTGCCCTTTTCTTTCGCCTTAACCCCCCTCCTCTCTTTGTACGTCAAATTTACATCATCCGAAACTATTTAATTTGGAGCCACAATCCTGGTGGTTGAAATAAATAGATAAATGAAATATTAAATCCGAATTAATAAATGACGAGCCTCTCGAGACTATTGGTAGCCTTTCACGGGGGAGTGATTCCTTTCGAATTCTATCACGAAACGCGTTATACATGCTCAAAGCATATCTGGTGTAATAAAAAAAGGGGTCCTAAGTCCTAATACAAACTTTGGCATGTTAGATGATTGTCTATATATATATATTTTATAAATTTGAAGTGTCAGCGTAAATTTATGCCAAAAAAAATTAAATTAATTATTTTTACCTCTAATTATAGTTTTATACTTTTTGTATAAAAATATATTTGTCAATAACAACCAATCGTGTCATGCCAAAAATTCCACATAATTTTTATAAACCTACTTAACATATGGTTGATTTATTTAATGGAATGAGAAAAAAATGAGGAAAGAGAAAATATGTTAATATAATTGTGTAAAAGGGTTGTGCAAAATACACAACAATTTTATAAATTTACGAAGTTGCAATGTATCTTAATATACTATTGCAGATAAAAAAATAAAAATAAAAATAAAAAGATTTAAAAATAGGGTTTACACATTGTGTATATTTTTCACAAAAATGTCTTTTAATACACTACTGGATATGCTCTTAGACCTAGGGATGGCAACGGGGCGGGGCGGGGATCTCATTCCCCATCCCCATCCCCAACCAAAAATTTCACCCCCGTCCCCGCCCCCACCACGCCACCATTTTCCCCGCCCCTGATTAAGTTCTCCTAATTCTCAATATCACAATTCCAGGATAGAAAAAAAAAAAAAAAAAAAAAAAAAAAAAAAAAAAAAAAATTCACAACTCCAATTGTAAAAATAAAAAATAAAAAAATCACAGTTCAATCAAAACCAAAATGATTTGATCCATTATATATGTATAGGTTTTCTAATAATTTGATGGGATAATTCCAACTTTAAGACTATAAACATTGTAAAATATTGGAATAAACTCAAAAAAGTAAATAAATAAATAAAATCACAGTTCCACGGATCCAAAATCCAACACTCCAAATATATATATACACACTTACATATGCATATACCGGTGAGGGCTGACGAGGAAGAGCCGACACCGGTGAGGGGGAAGAGCCAATATAGGTGAGGGGAAAGAGCCCATACCGATGAGGGGGAAGAGCTGATGCCGGAGACGGATTCGGAAGGACACGCAAGAGGCGATGCCGGAGACGGACGCGAAAAAGCCGATGTTGTTGTCGATTCTTAGGTGAAAAGAGAGAGAAAATGGTGAAGGAAGAAAGAGGGCGTGACTGGGGTTGCCTCATCAGTTTAGAATTAGACAAGATTTTAGGGTTTTCATATATGTGGTATATATATAATATAGGCTAATTTGGTAAATATAATAAAATAGGAAAGGGTATTTTAGTAATTGCATACTTAATCGGGGCGGGGATACCCCATCCCCTGCCCCGACCCCGGCGGGTTTTCACAATTTATCCCCATCCCCATCCCCGTTTACATAAAAGGGTCCACATCCCCGCCATAAATGGGGCGGGACAGGGCGAGGCCCCGGCGGGGATGGGGAATTTGCCATCCTTACTTAAACCGATTTATCAGGTATAATCTACGTGGCTTCTCCTTACGTGACAACCTAATTGTTAAGTTTGGAAAATACATCTTTAATTGGTTACAAGTTATTGTGTTTGTAGGGATACGTACTGTACAAGTTTATTGTAACGGCCTGAATTTTCATAACCCAGAACGTTAGTGAGTAACCCGAAACCTTGACCCAATAACAAGTCCGAAATGCAGAAGCGAAAACTAACAAAAGGTTACTAGAGACGACACCATCTCTATGACAACAAAAAAAAAATCTAAATGGAGTCAACAAGACTCAACTAGAATACAAATGCGGAAGCAATGAACTAAGGGCTAGTTTGGTGTGGTGGAATGGAATAAAAGAAAATGAAATGGAATGGTTTTTTTTCCATTCTCGTGTTTGGTGCCAATTTTAAAGTTGGAATCATCATTTCCCACTATTTTTGGAGAATGGTCATTGCATCAAAATCATTCCACTTTCAAACAAAAGGAATGACCATTCCATTTCATTCTCATTCCATTCCCACCTCCATTATCATTCCATTCCAATTCATTCCACCACACCAAACTAGCCCTGAAGGAATCAAACTAATTCCTAAAATGGAAGCCAAAGGGTAAAATGGTCATAACGACAAATGAATTATCATATGATGTCTTGAAAATACATATACATCAATACAATGCAATATGAGGTGCCTTAGGTCAATAAGAAGTGACAAAGAATGAACACAGAACAAGGAAGCAACAAATAGGGAGCTGTCAGGAACTGGTCGACGTGTAAGGCTCACACATCGACTGAAAGGGCTAACTTGGTCGACGCGAAGGTCACTTTACATCGACCAAAAGATGTGAGTCCCGGAAATTTATACTGTGCTACAATGAAAACTGAGATACCGGTCGACGTGAAACCTTTACATGTTGACTGAAACTCTACAAAAAATGACTCTTAAGCCAAAAAAAAAAAAACTGTAGAATGGTCCTTAATCCCACCCCAACCTTAACCATGCATTCTAATAGTCTCAAAATCTAAAACTAAACTTCAACAATGATGGAACATGTAATGGAATAGAAGATAACAATAAGTGTGAGCAAGTGAGACACAAAAATGTGCATTAACATAGGAATCATATTTAAAGTAAAATAGCCCTTTAGCCCCAAAGACATTGAAATAAAATGACCTAATGTCCTCAAATGTATAAGTTATCAAATACATAAATTTACAACTTAAAGGAAAGGAAATACAACTTAGGGTTTTAAACCCTTTAGATTTACATTGAATTACATATATATCAAAATAAATTTATAATGGTTTGAAACATAGCATCAACTTCAAAAGCAGTTCCAAGCGACTCATTTCCTAAAAAATGTTCGTATAATAGGAGTGAGCACTGCCGCTCGGTATGATATGGTGGATTATACAAATAAAATGCGTCCTTTGGAATCCTCAAGGACGTGCGAGAAAATGATCGGCATCCCAAGGATGAAAGGTCATACAACCTAGAGTCTAAGCTCAGTGAAATAAAAAGGGGTCATACACCCTAACTCTAATTTCTGTAGCATGATAGTCTAACTCAACTCAAGTAGACACATAATCAAATCGTGCATCCAAAAATATACACAATCATCAAATAATAACTACAACGAATCTTAAATCGAAATGAAGCACATTATCACATAATGGCTACCACGAAAAAATAACCGCAACAATGTCCATATAATCCCATGAATTATGAACTTAATACAATCCCTGAACTCCAACATGACACAACCCACACACGTTAATGCCATGATGCAAAATGATAATGCATGCCCTATGTCGAAAATCATATCCCGTAGATGAAAATAAATGAGTGCCCTTTCGCACCCTATAGATAGCATCTATCCATCAAATATCTCATGAATGCCATGCATACACAACCCATGAACTCAATAATATACACAACGCACCCATAGCCAAAATGGCACCCACACCATGACCCACGCATGATGAAAATAATGCTATGCATCCCATTACTCAGATATAGTCCAATAATATCATATAAGCCAACCAAAGTACCCATGGTACACAACAAGACATATATGAATACAAAGCCTCAAATGACCACAAAAGAAATGACATAGGTCAAAACTATAACCCAATCATTTCTCCTACTATCATGCTCAACAATTTCAAAACCCAATATAGCCCAAAGCACAATTGAAATCAAACATACACTATAAACATTGCATATATATATATCAAATATACATCAAGTAAAGCATGGCTCACATATACATATTGCAAATAAGCATGCTTTACACCTCTCGCACCCATAAGACCTCAAAAAGGTGCAATTTAAAGGCATAAGACACCCGTACCTCAATTTAAGGTGAAAACCTCAAATGACGCAAAAATGAAACCGCTCTAAAGACGACGCAACTTCCGGGTTACGTCGGGGACAACAAAGGTAACAACTAATCCTCTTGCTGCACCTCCAAAATCTAAACCTAAGCTCAAACCAAAACTAAAAAATGATCCAAATGGAAAACTGATCGGATAGAAATCAAGGCCTTACCGACATATCTCTCTTCTATGGCAAGAGGTGAATCACAAATGAAAGCTCTCGTGTGGAGGATAGAAGAACTAGATCTGGAAAAAGAAAAAGGAAGAAAAAGAAGAAGAAATAAATAAATGATTTTTTTTGTCTCATCCCTCAGTTTTAAACTTGGACAAGAAAAATAAAAAAGTCAACAAATGGGTCCCATACGACCCTAAAAAGCAAAAATCGTCAAAACGGGCTCAAACAGACAAAAGCCATGAAAGTAAAAACACCGATATCGAAAATAATGAATAACAAAATTAACGGCATCAAAAAAACAATCCCGAACTTAAAAATCCATCCCGAACCCACATGGTAACCTTTCATCTCAAAAATCAAAAAATGAAGGAAATGGTCCGGAATGTATTTCTAAGAGTTCAGAACTCGAAGAAAGGCTAAAAAGAACAACGAGAACCCCGTACACATATTCCAATGTCATAAAAATAAAAGAAAAATAAAATTCAAAAAATCAAAAAAAGGACCGGTCTCTACATTTATTCTCATCGGTTCAGTTTTGAAAGAGAAGAGACTTGATCTCCGACCACTGATAGTGTCGGTGACACCAGTATGTTCTATCCTTGTCTCTTTTATTTTTCAAAAGAGTTCAATCCACCTACATCACTCTTAATTGCTAAAAAAACAGAAATTTTAGAAAATTGGAATTTGAAGGCTGCAGAATGAATAAGTTGTTGTCATAAAGGTTAAGTATTAATTGCCGGTTAGGTGAGCTTGGAGTTTTTGCAAGAAAAATGGAGGAATGCCTAAAAAGAAGAATTCTGAAGTTGATTGTCGGATTTAGAGCCGA